TACACAACACAGCCAAACACACACAACCAAGCAACCAAACACACAACACAGCCAAACACCTCACGCATTAAAATGCCTCAAACAATCAATCAATGAATCAATCAATCATATCATATCATACCGCCTAACCTAGCCTAGCCTAGCCTAGCACCGCATCGCATCGCATCACATCGCCAAATTTTTTAAAAAAGACAGCAGAGATAAGAGAAGGAGTTGAATGACCATTCATTCATTCATTCATCCATCCATCCAACCAACCAACCATCCATCCATTCTTTTCCGCAATTCCCATCCGTCCATCCATCCATTTCCGCATCCATCCGTCAATATCAATACCTCAAAACTAAACACAGAGTAACCAGAAAGAAAAAAAAAAAAACTCCTAGCAATGCAACATGCTCGAAAAATAAAATAAAAATCCTCACTATCTCAATATTAATAACATATCTCGCAGTTGTCTTTCTGCATCCATTTCCTTTTCCATCTCCTTTCCCATTCCCATTTCCATTTCCGCCCCCACATCCCCATCCACTTCCACCACATCTAACCCTCCGCCTTCATTTTCAACTTCATCTTCATTAAAACCTCCGGATCAGCCACCATATCCGGATCAAGCAATGAACTCATCGCCTTACTCAACTCCTTAAAATCAACCGGTTTAGTCACATAACTATTAAAGCCCGCTTGAACGCATTTTTCCAAGACATCCGCCATGACATTTGCCGAGAGGGCTATAATTGGCATTTTAGAATATGAATTTTGGGTTTCCCATTCGCGGATTTCGCGACAAGTTTGGTAGCCATCTTTTCGAGGCATGTGGAGATCGCACTATATATTGAGTTAATAAATGTAAGGATAGAGGGATGACGATGGGATAGGATAAAAGAGAAATACGTACCAAGATCAAAGAATAAAATCCATGAGGTTTGCTGAATACTCTTTCTGTACATTCAACTCCATCCATTGCTAATTCAACCGCAATACCAACTTTGCTTAAGAACTTCAAGAGAACTTTTTGATTAACCAAATTATCCTCTACCAAAAGAATTTTAAGACCTTTATTCCCAAGACGCTGTCCAACATCAAGATAGTGTTGTTTTTGACTTGCAACTTGTTGCTGGGCGCTTGAACGATTCCTATCAGTACTTAAATCTCTCTCTTTATCCGGATCAAAAATTACTGCAAATCTCGAAGGCTTAACAGGCTTGTAAATGAACGTAAGACGATTATCCTTAGCCATTTGGTCATAGTCGTATGATTGAGCCATCTTAATAACTTCTTGTCGTTGTACAGGATCGGATAAAACAACAATTGAAGTTTGAGGTAACATCACGGATGCAATTAGTTGATCAATCAATTGTACAATCTCCTCAGCTGAGCCAAGGTTCAAAACTATATGGGTAAAATTGACAGAATCATCTCCACTGATAAGTCTTCGAGCTTCGTCAACACTTGAAAGTGGAGTTATTTGATGCGGAACGTCCTTCGGTAGTGTGATCTCGATATGTTGTCTCGTAGCTTCGCGACTGTGGACTTGAGGACAAATAAGTAGGATTGAGTACATCGGAGGCCGGAAATGCTTAAGGTCGTGTGAGCAATCACTATTTGCACGGGTACTATGTAAGTCTGACGGAGTCGAGGAGATATTTGTAGAAGTGAGTGGATGAGTACGCTCAGAAGGTGGCGAGGGTGACGAAGAATGCTTATCCGGAAGTTCAAGCTTCATTCTTTCTGGAGTACTTGCTCGAGCTGCCTCACCAAAATGAGCCAGGCTCTGAGCAACAGAAGACCCAGAAGATCGATCGGTGAGGCGACTTCGACCAGAATAGAGAGATGGCTCTGAGCTTCCGGAAGAGGCTACGGCTGGCGAGCCTGCAGATGATTCCGTCTTTGGACTCTCCATGAGGACTGCAGGCGAGTGTAACAGCCTTGTAGCCAAGAGTGGGTTACTGAGAGCTTGTTTAGCAGCGACTTGTGAGGATAAACTGTTGGATACTGAGGATGCTAATGACGGAACTTTGCTCAACTGAGGTGTTGAAAGTGGTTCTGGGTGATCGTCTGCTGTCGGCAGTCCGAACTTGGCAGTAAATGTGAAGGTGGATCCTTTACCGGGGACGGCAGTCCCTTGCATCTTGCCATCATGGAGTTGAACCAGTTGTCTGGAAATAACCAATCCTAAGCCACTTCCACCATGCTGTCTCGTACTGCTCCCATCTATTTGACTGAAAGGCTTGAAAATGAGATCAGCCTCTTCTTTGGTGAATCCTCGTCCAGTATCCACAATAGAATACTCCAGCATTATTTCATTGACTAGTGGCGGTGATTCGTCGTCTACGTATACCCTGCATCTAGTAAAAACTTCTCCAACCGTCGTGAATTTAATTGCGTTGCCTATGACATTGAGTAAAACCTGACGAATGCGGAATTTATCTCCCTTAACCATTTCAGGAACATCAACATCGACAATATAGTTAAGTTCAAGTCGCTTGGTGATGGCCATAGTAGACACCATTTCATTGACTTCTTCGACGAGAGATCGCGTATGGAACCACTCATATGACAATTTCATCATGCCTGCATCTACCTTGGAAAGATCCAATATATCGTTGATGATATTGAGTAAACTGCTGGCACTAGATTGAATCGTGTTTGTGTAATCGAGCTGTTCATCATTGAGGGTAGTGTCCTGTAGAAAGCTTACCATTCCAGAAATGCCGATCAAAGGTGTTCTGATTTCGTGAGACATGTTACTTAAGAACTTGCCCTTAGATTCCATGGCTTCTTTAAGCTTTGTTTCCAGCAATTTATGATCGTTGATGTCAGTACAGGCACCAAACCAGGAGCCGTCTCCACTTCCAAGGTTAATGTTGTCAACTTCGACGCACCGTACAAGATGCCAACGATACTCTCCAGTCTTCGATCTCAATCGGACTTCGGTTGTGTAAGAAAGTCTTCCATTGCTATCTGTAGCGATCTTGATAACCCCAGTTCTCGCCAACTCGGACAAATCTGCCGTGGCAAATTCATATACGGAACTACTGCTTGAGCTATTGTTTCTTGATAAGGTTTGATGGATTCCTTTCACTGTCTTTTCCGTTGGCGCTTCGGAGGGGTCGGATGACTGCCCTGATATCCCACTCGAAGATGCCTGCGATGGGTTTCTCGTCGGTTCGCCGGGTTTTTTAGACCGAGTCAAAGGGGTAGGCGGTCTACCGACGGGGATTTGGCATTTTGCAAGATCATCCGGATGCACATAATCCATAAAACCGAGTCCCAAGGCATCGTTGAAATCTTGCCCGGTATACGAAAGCCATTGCTCGTTTGCAAAGGTCACGCCCTCATCTTCTGTTGCCGCAAAAATAATCTGAGGAATCAAATTTGCCAGTTGGCGATGCTTGGCTTCTGATGCTTCTATTTCCTCTTGTCGTGCAGCTTTCACTTCTGCAATATGTTGATCATGGATGTCCATATGAGAGCCGTACCATTGAACAATCACACCTCTTATATCCCGAGAGCCAACAGCACGGGTGTAGAACCAACGATAACTTCCGTCAAAACGTCTGATACGCACCTGCATAGAGAACTGCTCACCCGTTTTCACCGCATGAGACCAGGCTTTGAGGTATTCCTCTCTCTCTTCAGGATGAATGCTACCCCATGGGTCCTGGTACAACTCGGAGACGGTTTGACCACGATACGTAAGATATCGGCTATTTACCCATACTATTTCCCCCGTCTGTGGTAGCGCGACAAAGACATGCGCAGGTAGAGAATCCAGCATCAAGCCTTTTAAACGATCGGAAGGCGGGGGCATATCAGTAGGTACACTAGCAGGCAATGACCCTTGACGCGAAGGTTTAGGAATAGAAGGAGCTTTTATCGATGAAGCCGATGTTATCGGTAAGGACTGGAAAGTCGCACCAAAATCTGCACCATAGGAGTGTAGTTGCGTGTGTTGACGATCAGGCTTACCAGCACCATAAGAAGCACCTCTGATCGCTTGCCGTCTCGGTGAATCGTGGGCATTTTGATGTGAAGGGCTGTGTTCACGGAGTTCTGCACTCTCATTCGATGACTCTTTCGATGTTTTATTATTACGATTTTCTTGCCCCGATGAGTTAGTCGAGGTGTGCGAAACTTCTGCGTCACCCTTACTCTTATTCAAATTCTCGCCACCGTCGAAGGATGGAGTTAGTGAAGGTCGATCATCTGATTGACTTCGAGGTATTGACCGGGTCTCAGCAGGCGAACTGTCTTTCGATGTACGTCGAACACCTGCTACACCACTCCCCCCTGTATCCATTCGAGATACATTAGGCCTCCTTGAGCTGAAATAACTCTCAGTTCCTACATATCCAGGACTTTCACCGCTGGACTTCCTATCCAACGTGAGGCCTACACTGCTCGGATCCCATGACGGAGTGCCGCTTGGGGACGCATTGGCACTTCGCGATACTCCAGAATAATCACTAGGGCTGGTAATGCTTCCTCCAGATTGCTGGCGCATTCCTTCCTCGCCTGGAGAGTAAGACAGGTTACCGCTTACCGCGGAAGGCTGATCGTGAGCATGTCGACCTCCTGAAGCAATGGCACCAAATCCAGTCGTATGAGGACGTTTTCGAGACAAACCTGCGACTTCCGTCTCGAGGTTGGAATAATGTCGACAAAGCGAAAATGAAGTGGCCATATGTGGCGAGAGATGCTCTAAAGAGTGTCTGAGATTAGATGGATAAGGAATAACAGGGCTGAGAATCGAGAGAATTGCAATTGGAGTTCGCTTTTCCTTGTATGGTTCTGCTCCTTGCGCCCTGGACGAATCGGGGTATTTTGGTAACTGATCAATATTTTTACCGCGGCCTGCAGACTTTGATTCCATCGCGGCAGCATCTAAGCGAAATGATTGTACGGGTTTTGAAAGTAAAGGATGCGTCAAGGGAATATGTAAAACAGTCCAAGATCTGTCGACTCCAATTGCCTCAACTTGTTGCATCTTGGAATAATCTTGAGGTGTGTGATTTGGGTTGAAAGTCTCTTCATCTACTGTCGAATTCGCAAAGAAAGGATTATCCGTCGTCTCCACCCTCACGGCGGGAGAAGGAGCCGGTGATTGTGACCATGGCGATGGTGGAGTCTGTTCGTATTCTTCATACCTCGGAAGTGGCAATGGAGGTTCTGTTGGATCTTGTGCATGTATACTTTTCCCCCTTTCACCAGATTGATGGCGAAAGCTTCGACGTTTATTAGGTTTGGTGCCAAAAAGAGACGAAACTTGTCCACTAAATTCCGGTGCTCTGTTCTTTTTCAATCGCTCAGGTGATTCTACTTTTGAGGCCATGCTCTCACTGACTTTTTCTACCTCTGCCGGGTTGTTCAAGTACGGATAATCTCGTGTCAGAGCAATGACTCTCTCTCTCTCCAAGACTCTTAGCACACCACTACTATCAATCAATGGATCAGCTTCATAATCCAAGGCTTGCAATACTGAAAAGACACGTCCTTGCACATCTCTGCTCGATTGCTCAACGTTTTCCCAGCTAGCAGTAGGCTTCTCGGCCTCCAATGCCATATGATTTTCCAATGCTTGCAGACTTAATTGTGCATTCTGGAGTGTACCCGTCCGTGGTGGTTGATCAGGTCTACCAGAAACATAGCTTTTTGCACGGGTGAGAGGCGAGGGTCTCGCCGTAGTAGTCCTAACGCTTTCAGATGAAGATGTTGGATCTCTCTTCGTTGCTTCATAGCTAGTGAAAGAATGTCGACTGACCACGCCAGGTCTGGACGTGATGGCCGCTGGTGGTGAGTCGCCAGATGCATATCCTTCGGATGCTGAAGTCTCGAGGGTATCACCGCTACTGCTGGGTATAAGACTACTGCCTCGTGGCAAGTAGGTCAGACTTAATTCATCCTCCTCTGCTACATTGAATGTTGCCTTCTGTCCCCATGGAACATTTTCGATGTCAGTAGAATCTGCAGGTACTGATAGAGTTACTCTGTCAGCCTTGTAAACATCTCTCATAATTTTTACTACTGTGGTCCACCATGGATCAAGACCAGGTTCGGCCGAAAGCATGAGACTAAGATCATATAGGTTAGGTGTTTCAAATCTTGAACTATCCCCCGACATCTGTGAACCTGCTGGCTGGAAGTTAAGGCCTGAAGCTGGGGTGATTGGTCCTGATAGGACGTGGTCGTGCGGTCCATCATAAAACGAGCCGCCAGCAAAATTTGATGGGTTTACAGTTGGTGACAGGGCAGTGAAAGGTCGGTGGCCATTGTAGCTGAACTGTCTCGGAGTCCGCATTGGTGGGAAAGGATACGAAGGAGTTCTTGCATGTACTGCAGCTGGTGTTTCCCCCCCTCGTATAGTCTTGGCGGACTCAGTTGACGCTGTTTCCATACCAGTGGGAAATGGGCTGGAAAATGCTGCCTCTAATGATGGTGACATGGCCTCTTCATGAATGGGGGATACTCGAGCCTTACCACCAGTACCGGTAAGTGTCAGGTTTCCTTGAAGTTCTTCCCTCTCCTCTAATTGCTTCGCCAACCTCTCTCGATGCTGATTCAATTGCAATTGCGCATTCATGGCTCGAAGCCGTTCCACCTCCTCGGCCTGGTCGTGCAATGGTATCCTTCCTGGCGGCAAGCTGTGTTTCCGACCGGGGGCAGAAGTCCTTGACTCTCCTGCATTCTCGTCCTTGGAATTTGGAAGAGTGGAGGGTCCCACATCCGGAAGCTCGTTATCACTGGCCATTTCCACATCGCTGGATATTGAGGGTGCTTTTGCACCGGTAGGGAAACCTGGCATTGAGTCCTTCGCCTTTGAAATTGATGGTGGCCTTTCTTTCAATCCATGATTAGTCGATGGTGAGGAAGCTAAATGTGTGGATGAGTTGTCAAAATTGTCGCTTCCACTGGATTGTCGCAACCCAGGGCTTTTCTTCGAAGTTGATGAGGATGGTTTGTCAAGAGGAGAATCCGAAGGTGGCATGCCGTCCTCCCTTGTCGACCCTCCTGCAAACCTCTGGCGCTATTTCGACCCCAGACAAAATATTATTGCGATCGCTAGTGAAACCGCCGCAGCCAGATTCTTCATTCGTGGAGATTTTGGTGGTTTAAAGTTGATTTTGAGTTTGATTTGTTTTAATTAGCAGCTAGCATGTAGTGAGAAGTGAAAGACTTTAGTCGGGAAATGACGTAGAGGGCAGAATTTAAGGCAATCCGGCAGACAAAAATAGACGACAAATAATAATAATAACAACAATAATAATAATGGTAAAAATGTCAGAAAGGTCAGAAAGGTCAGAAATGGTAACGGAAGCTTTTGTCCACTATGGATTCTCTTGTTTTCTCTTTTTTCTTTTCTTTTCTTTTCTTTCCTCTGTCGTCTTCACTGTGGTCTCCTCTGTGGTCTTCTCTCCTCGTTCTGACTTTGATTTTGATTCCGATTCTGATTCTGGTCAAGATGTGAATTTCCTCAAGAATAAAAAAGATAAAAATAAACCAAGTATTGGGTATATATATGTAGGTAAAGTAGTGAGCACTCCGATCAAATCATTTTTGAATATTCTCAAGGCAAGGTAGGGTAAGGTAAGGTAAGGTATGTATGGACAGGCAGGCAGTTAGGTAGTCAGGTAGGTACCAAAAAAGATTCATAGGCACAGATGCTCTCTTTTCCTCAAGCTGCATACAAATGATGGATACTCCGTACCACGCAGTATAATACTGGGTCAAGTATGTTTTTAACAGCTTGTTAAACAAGGTTGTGTGGATGGATCGTGGGTGTAGGGAGGATAACATTAGCACCGTCTAGTATAATAATGTATAATCAAATATGGACCACTAGTTAGCATATACAAACAAATCAAATCAAGATATCGTCCATTTGAACCAGATCCCAGCTACATGGGTTGGATGTTACAATGTGTACAAAATTGTGCTGAATTGTACTGTATGCTGGGTATATTCAGTAATGAAGGGAATGAAAAAAAGGTCCCAGGGCTAATATTTTAGGAGGGGAGCTAGAAAAGGTATGAGAGATGAACTAGAGGACTTTTTGGGTGTGACAGAAATGACAAGAGTGGATTGTGAGGAACAACTCTTTCCTTTTCATGGTTGGGGGGGGGGGGGGGGGGTTTCTTACAACAGATGCAGGAAACCCACAAAATCCCTGCACACGAGACTGGTTGAAATATTAAAGAAGAAACCAGAGACGAGAAAGGGAAACATGAGACGGCCATGGTGGATACGAGCTAGCTTTAAGAATTGCTTCTAGATGTTTTAACCTCCCGAAAAGGCGAAAAGGCGTTGGATTCTGGAGATGGACGACGGATTTAGACTGATTTAACCTTTTGCAAAGATTAGACATGGGAAGCAAACACTCCGTATATTGTTAGTATACATATATACTAGGAAGGTAGATGGAGATTATATACAAATTGGGTGTCTACAATATCTTTTTCAAATATCCCAAGATTGAATTGGATGGCTTCACGTTGCCTGAACATTGAGGACTGATTTCGAACTTCCATTCAATATATTATCAGTCTCTTTTATACATACAATATCATACCATACGTGAATATCGTTGTGGTTCTGTCAACATTGAAGAGATTTGTTCACATTTCTCCTTTATTTATTTCTATGGTTACAATCACTACCTCACCAACCTCACCCTACTCATATTTTGCACACCAGCACATTCATTACATTACTTCCCAACCTCCTTGTTTCTTGGTCTCGAATTGCAGTTGCACACCCATAGAATGTATCGGAAGAACAGCATATAACCTCATGTGCCAAGCCTGCGTAGTGATGGCAGCATGAATGACTCTACATATGATCTTCGTGTAGCGTGCCAGTGAGACCGAAAGGCGGAACTCCGGGTACGAGAAAGAAGAGGGATGGATGGATGGATGGAGATGAGATCGATTCATCTATTTGATGATAACAAGCGGGTTAGATTTGTGGATCGTTAAAATTCCACATGGCATGTTTCTATCACACAGTTAAGGATTCTACAAACTTCTACCTTGGAAGAGCCTCGTAGGGCCGTTGAACGGATCCTGAATGCTCATGTCGTTTTATGTACGTACTAGGGATGTATATAGCTCAGTTATTGTATGATAATGATCGTAGGACATCTCTCATATATTATGGAGACATGGCTCTTTTGAGAGGCAGCGTAAGTTGCGAACAGTTTGATAAGTAATCATGGAAAGGACTGTACTCCGTTACCCGTACTACTACACTATTGAGACATCCTCTACGGGATGATTCTATACAAAAGCGATGGGATCGTGGCGGCAGCGCGGAGATATATCAGATGGTGGTCGGACTCTGATCGCTGTTGGCAAGGTCTCAAAAGCTGCAAAAGCAACCGAAGAAAAAAAAAAATAAGAAAAAAAAATCGAGAAAAAGGGTAAAACCCGCGAGGCATTCTTTCAATTTGCGCCAATAATATATGTAATTTAAAGGACCCTGGATAGGAACAGTGACGAAATGGCTGCATGATGACTTCATATGTCTTATGTAAAGTTGTGCAGACAACGACCAATTGGATTTATTCTCGTGAGTCGTGTGCAACCCCTGAAAAGAGTGGGCAGTTTTCATGAAGTTTGGTTATATTGTTATGTTCTGCACACAAGTTGTACAAAACAACAAACAGCGACTAGGAACCAGCAACACAAAAGGCTCAAATTAATTAGTTACTCCGTACGTGAATGGATCAAGTATGAGCAGGACCGATACATAGTATGAATGTGGAAAATTTACAGCATCCTCCATTTCATACGTTTGTAGAATAATCGTAATTAGAGTGTTGGTGCACCTAGTATGCATTACTGCACCTAGTATGCATTACTGCGGTGGAAGATTTGTTTTCCCTCCGTACGTACATATCATCATCGAACAAGGAAGATAGGGTTCACACCATCTGCCAGCCGAAAGCGAAGGGAAGGGTTAGCCCGGCTGCACACTCAGCAAATCCTCCGTAGATACTAGAAAGGGATTCAAACCATTTTCCAAATTCGGGATTCAGGGGTTCCCGAGGAACTTCAAAATGAACCACTTTTTAAAATATAAGCTTATGTGATTTGATTTGAGTTGATTTCAAAGAAAAGGAAGATGAGACCGTCAACAACTTCACCATCCATAAGGTTATCGACATCAAGGACTTTCCTCGGAGGGGTACGAATACTCGTACGAGTATATATGAATACCATACAATACTACGCTAAGTATCCCTATATGATGACAATGATTCCCGGCCGAATGCCGTGCAGATGTCTCTCAGAACGCTTTAGCCGCGTACCGAACAGCATCACTCAAGTATACGGAGTAGAAGGTGCTTGATGTCTCGGCGATAACAATACGATTTGCTTGGAGATCGATCCCACGATGAAAAGTTAATAAAAGAGATTGCCAGCAGTACAGCGAATACAAATATCCGGGATTTGAAAGTTAATATCATGACAAACATCACCTCTAACTCTAAGTATCTCCGCAACACCAGTAATTACTGCCTAGGTAGGTTCTACTAGCAATAAGTCTCATCCCGGTTATGGTATATACCTGGTATGTTTTTGGGGGATAGTCGGCTTTCCCAACTATCGGTCACAACACAACATGGCCAAAGCTGTGAATAATAATATTGAGTTTTTGCCCAAGGGATCTTTTAACATCACGAGGTTTGAATCCTGACCCCTGTAACTCTGTACACTTCCAACCTGTGTGTGAACATTGGAGCACACGAAGAAGGAAAGAGACTAGATGTGCATGTTTCCATGTTTCGCCAAGGTTTGCTCGGATCCTATCCCCGTGTCTTCGCTTTCCTAATATAGCTGCTTCAACGTCCCAATAAGGAAAGGAGCTCTCCCCGCTTTCCTGTGTCTTGCATCCCCCTTCCCCAGCCATTTCTTATCGGGAACATTCCTCATCATTCAACAATCAACCTTCAACCTTCAACCTTCTGACCTTCTTTTTGGACAATTTTGGTTTCTTTTTCCTGTTTGCTTCTGTTATTCATTTGAACAATCTCATACAATCTGGCGTGCAGGCAGAAGAAGAGGATTGCCAGGGTATCAAGTAATAGATTAAAGTCAAGATCTCGTTCGCCTCATCTTTCCCATCCACGAACACCTCTTCCTCCTCCACCAACCCTTCTCCGTAGGATACGAGCAACAACCAAAGCCAAGAATACTTTTGCGAATTTTGTCATTCCTCTAGCGGGTTTTTTGACCGCGGTGTCGACGCGTCTATACGATATGGGTGCCTCTACCAAGAAGCTGCAGAAACAACGGCAGCCGAGTTTAGCAGAACAAGTACTAAATATGTGCGCATCGTCTTCGAGACATGTAGATGATGAGGTTTCAGAGGAAGCACCACTTCTTCGAAAAGAAGCCAATAGCTCAGAAGACTCTTACTCAACTTCCGGCTCATGGAAAATCAAAAGTCAAAAAGCAAAATGGAGATGGTTTGCTCAAAACACCTTTAGGGTTCTGGGCGTCTTATTGGCAACAGTTATGATTGTTGCTGCTTGTCTATTCTTTACCGGTATGAATATTTTGATACTCCTCACTTCACCGTCTAATTGCCTTAATCCAATTTCAACATCCAAAAATGTCCACAAATGTCCACAAATTCTATCTCATTGTAGAGATATTCTAGGATAACATGCGGATCACTGACTTTCAAATTAAAACACAGTTTTCATACCTCAGAAGCGAGTTCTACAACAAAGTACATGCGATTCTGCAGCATGCGTTCATGCTGCTTCCGAGATTTTATACAACTTATCTCCCAAATATAAGGAGCTCGACGCATGCTCGAATTTCGAGGAATTGGTCTGCGGAGGGTGGAGAGATCACCATGATTTGAGGCCTGATCAAGGGGATGCCTTTACAGGAACGATCATGAGTGAAAATTCACAAACTTTGTTGAGGCATATTTTGGAGGGAGAATATCCCAAAGAATCTAGGGTTAGCAACATCCAATCTCTGGTCACACAATATAGCTAATATATGATAGCACTCGAGCTTCTCTCCTGCCATGTTACCAAAATCTCCCGCTTCCCTGGACGAAGAGAATTTTGACAAGCTAAAAGCAGGCTATGATGCATGCATGAACGAAACGGAAATCAAGAGTGTCGGCATCACCCCTTTGAAAGAGATAACTCAACAAGTGACGGGTATTTTTTCGGTGGAAGATTTTAAACACATGCTCCTCAAGTCAGAGGACTATGGTAGCCTTGCAGATACTATAGAATACATGGCGAAATTGGGGTCTTCGGCATTCATATCATCTGGCACAGGACCTGATGACAAGGATCCTGACACCGTCGTCATCCAGGTTTCACCACCATACAAAATTGGTCTGCCGTCCAAGGAGTATTACAATGACGAAAAGGTAGTGAAGGATTATACCCAGACGATTGCAAAGGTCATTCCCAAGTTTTTGCCAGAACATCAAACCTCTACCAAACATTCATCAGGTAGTAATGCTATACGAGAGAAAGCTACGGACCTTGCAAATGGTGTAGTTGCCCTGGAGAAGAAGTTAGCAGCTGCCTCTCCAAATAACGAGGACAGAGATGACGTCACGAAATACTACAATCCAATGCCACTTGAACAGGCTGATAAGCTAACACCAGAAATCCATCTTTCAAAAATAATCCATAGCTTGGTTCCCGCAGATGTTCGACTTGACCGATTAATTGTTGCATCACCACAGTACATGCATGCATTATCTGACATACTGAACACTACTCCGAAAGAGGTAATACAGACATACTTCATTTGGAAGCTTATCCAGACGTTCTATTCCGAGATCGAAGCTGATGAGTTAAAACCATACCGTCAATTCATCAATGAGCTTCAAGGGAAGGATCCAAATTCTGAACCTGAACGATGGCGCACTTGTGTTTCGCATGTTGATGATGGACTCGGCTGGATTTTGAGTCGATTCTTCGTTGAAAAGGCTTTCTCTGCTGAGGCCAAGGACTTTGGAGATCAAATTGTTTCTGATATTAAAGATATGTTCATTGAAAAGCTCAAGGCAACTACTTGGATGGATCCGAGTGTCGTTGATTTAGGTATTGAAAAAGTGCACAAAATTGTTCAGAAAATTGGATATCCTTCAAAGGTATGTCGATGTCTAATGTTGTAAACTACATGTACTAATTTTCGAGATAGAGCCCAGACATCATGGATCCGAGATCTCTTCATAACTACTATGACTCGGTCAAGGTATCGGAATCAACTTACTTCAAAAATTCTCTGGACATGAGACGATTTGAAATTGCCCGTGGATGGTCAAGCTTGGGAAAACCAGTCGATAGAGAAGAATGGGGTATGACGGTGCCAACGGTTAACGCCTATTATAATCCGCCGGGTAATGAGATTGTCTTCCCAGCTGGTATCATGCAGTTCCCAGTTTTCGATGTAGCGGTTCCTCAATACCTTAGCTACGGTGCTTTCGGGGCTGTTTCCGGACATGAATTATCACACGCATTTGATTCTACAGGTCGTCATTACGATCAAAATGGAAACTACACAGATTGGTGGACACCATCTACAGTTGCCGCATTTAAAGAACGCGCCCAATGCTTCATTGACCAATATGGTAATTACAGCATTCCCGGCCCAGACGACAAACCACTTTACGTCAATGGTAAACTCACGCTAGGTGAAAACATTGCCGATGCAGGAGGATTATCTGCCTCGTATGCTGCTTGGAAAAGACGTCAAGGAGAAAGTAATGATAAGAACCAAAATTTACCAGGGTTATCGGAGCATTTCTCACAAGATCAATTGTTCTTTGTCAGTTATGCTAATTGGTGGTGTGGAAAGAGTACCAAAGAAACTGCAATAAGTCGACTTTATACAGATCCACATGCGCCGAAATGGGCGAGAGTATTGGGAACGATGGCGAATAGTAGGGAATTTAAGAAGTCTTTTAGTTGTAAGGAGAAGGAACCAGTTTGTGAGTTGTGGTAGGGTCTGGGTGTTTGATGGTTTGGGTTGGTGGTGGAGATTGAAATGAGGATGTGGTATGGATTCGACCTGGCAAGGTAGGAATCTTAATGGGATAGGATTGCAATGGAGGTCGCTAGATTGTATAATTAAGGCTATTGGGCCCCCACCTTGATGGATGCTCTTCTTAGGTTTTTGATAAGAGTTTGTACATTGATATGATTAGGAAGGATACGCATAGGCATACATGGATATGGAGAAGGCTATGGATATGAATACAGGAATAGGATTCTAATGCGATGAATCGAGATTAATATTTATAATGGAGGCGTGTACACGTATGTATATGGTATTTCTTACACAAGCGAGAAGAGAAACCGAAGAGAAAGGAGGAAGGAGAAAGGGAGGGAGTGGGGTTAATAAATATATGTTATTATAAAGTAGGTTAATTAATTGAAACTCTTTTGCAATTGATATTAATAAATCATTTTGTTTTGATCCTGGTCTTGGTTCTGAGAGTAGCTACTTAGCTACTTAGTAGATGATCTTTATTTGGGTCCTTTGGATAGGTATTATAATAAGGATACTAGGTTACTAGGCGAGGTAGGTCACTAGGTGTAGGTTAGGTATGTAGATGGATAGGATGTGAAATTATTGATTCATTATTATTCTTAAGCCTACTTGTAGAATTGTTCGTGTTTATTTATGGATTCATGGATTCGTTAAATAATAAATTGTAAGATAAGATATAAATAATCCCGTTCCCTTAAAAGGAGTAAAGAAGTAAACGACTGAAGAACTGAAGTACTAAATACTCATATCGTCATGTTCCCGAGACCTTTGAATGAGAAAAGTAGGTATTGATTGATTGATTGCATCAATACTACATGCAACATAATCTTCAGGTAATATAGACCCTCCAACGGAGCCGGAAATCGCACACCATACAGACGAAGTATCCCCACTCAAATCAAACCTCAAACTCAAACCTCCCACCTCAATTCCTCCTCCCCAATCCCAATTTCTCCTTCTTAATCCTCGGCACCATCCCAACCAACATCAACAGCGCACAGCCAATCACAGCCCAACTCTTAATATGCAACGCGTTTTCATTAAAAGGCGTCCATGTAGCAGCGGAGATGGTAGCGAGCATGAGGAGGAGAATGAGGTAACCGCTTGCGCGGTGGTATTTGTAGATTGCTTTTGCGGTTTGGGGGGAGCCGTAGAGGGAGGGGGTGAAGTATTGGGTTGTGCCGATTAGGGTTTGGAGGAGGAGGAGGATGTAGGTTGTTAGGCCGACTAAGAGGGGAGGTTAGTTGGGGTTGGGGTTGGGGTTAAATTAGGTGAAGGGGGTAAATGTGAACAAAATACATACGAATAGCATGCGCAGATTCAAAATGAATACCCCTATGCGCAAATTTATTCACCTCAATAACAACCAATCCCGCGATTAACAAGCTAAGTGCCAGCGAGTTAAACCACGCGTGCACGAGTGTACCCTGACGTTTCTGAGTCGCGGTATGCGTAGGTTGGAGAATAAGAATTCCTTGCGTGAGAAAGAGGAGGCCGCTGGAATTGAGGAGTGGATGTGCCGAAAAGAGGATTAGACCGGTAGGAGAGAGGAATATACTGGCCCAGATGTGGGCGGTGAGGAGGAGGAGGGCGATTTGGGTTATTGTTGCGGTTCCTGGTTTAAGGGTTAGTTTTGGGTGGGTTTATTGGGGATTGGGATTGGGGTTTAGGAGAAGGTGAAGGGTAAAATACCAAGTGCTAGGTTCCAAATTAATGGTCGTCCTTCTTGTTGTGATGCATCGCCTGCTCGTCCGAGTAAGGGTTCTTCTTCTCCGTAACCTGCTTCGTGGGGATTTTGGAGCTCTCCCGTGGCTACGCGTGGGTTTTCGGGGATTCCTGTTACGGATGCCATGGATGGGATTATTTATGAAGGGTTGTTGGATTTTTGGATTGTTGTTGGGTTTGTGTTTGGGGGTGGTTGATAATTGATGGTTGATGATTGATATTTGGGGTGAGGATGAGTTGATGAAGATAGGATGAGGGTGAGATTAAACAAGTAATAACCTTATGATTATTCGATTAAGTTACCTAGGTAGGTAGGTATATGGCTTTCCGTAAGATTGAGAAATCTCGTCTTACATACAAGATACCTATCTCTCCCGAGGTAGGTCTCTCTCTCTCTCTTTATATATACTCTGATAAGAAATAAAATACTCCGCATAAGATTCACAACAAACAATAGAAGAATCCAACGATCGTGATTGATTCGGACTATTAACTGTTTTACAAATCATGCTCTAAGATGGCGTCGATGATTTAATGATTTATTGATTTATCGGATTGCGGGGAATAAGTACCCCTGTTACCCAATCATGAAGCTTGCTTCTGTAATCATTTTGTATGTACGAGTATGCGGAGAATGGAGTGTGCATGGTTAAAGTTGGAGTTTGGACTAGTGCCTTATTTCGTGATAGGGGGATTTGTTTTCGTAATGGGTTTGTGAGGGGTAGGTAGGTTGGTAGGTGAAAGAGGATGGGAATATCTAGTACTGCTGTATAAGATGTATGGCCTTTTTGGTTTTGGGGAAAAAGGAAAGAGGGAATGCAAAGTTGTTTTATTTTATTATAAATAAGCGACTGGTATTGATACTGGTATTGATACTGATGATACTGATAAGCTTATGGATAGGAAGATGGATGAACAGAAAGATACAAGCCAGAAACCAGGGAACTGAAAACGAATGAATGTACAGATAGCTGTCGCTCTTGAATGTCGTTTAAACAAACATACTCATACTCTACACATAGGTAGCAACTTTTACAAGTACAAAATATCTACCAATTCCAAAGTAGCTTTCATGAGAATGAAGTACATGATAATTAAATATCTTTGCGCGATAGCGGGGCTTATCGGAGAACTTATCGGAGGATACCGATAGTTCTATAGAAACAGCATGAACATTATAATTCATTACTCGATGGAAATTATAAACCTCAATATCATAAAAACTCTCTTTTATTTAATTTTTCCTTCTCAATCCTGAAATCTCTTCCTGGTCCTCAAAGTAAAGTTGCTTTTTACCATTTTTGTTTCTCAATCTTTTTCTCGATAATTCAATATGGCTTTCGAAACTGAATACAAGACTGAAGATGTGGCTGTAACATCTGTCCCATCTGATGAGATTGATACCACTTTTCGTTCATCCTGTATTGGTAAGTTGTACTTTATTTTGGTGTTAATTACTTTAAGATCTTTGGAGACAAGAATGGCTTGATTTTTTCTAAAAACTAGCTTACTTACAACTGAAAGCATGAGAGAAAAGCTGTCTACTCCTTCCATAGATAACATGTATCTCACAAGCAAGTATAAAACACCTCAAGCGGGGTAAAGGCTGCGCTGTCAGGTGCAATATCATGGTTCAAATTTTCAAATGTTTCAATAACATACCCCAGGTTAGTTCTTTGGCTAATCAATCATCCTAGATCTCATATCCGGTACTCTTGGTGGAAAAGTTCTTTCATTCTCAGATGAATGGTTTGCGGAAGCAAATAATCTTCTTACTCCTACCCCACCCATCAGACAACCAGGAAAGATGGTATATACCGGTGCATGGTATGATGGGTGGGAAACTCGTCGACATAATACTGAGCCTTTTGATTATGTCGTAATTCGCCTTGGAGTTGCTTCAGGAACTGTCGAAGGAATTGAAGTTGACACAGCTTTCTTCTCTGGAAATCACGCACCTGCAATCTCCGTTGAAGGTGTATTTAGTGATAACGATGAAGAAGTGATTGGATGGAAAGGTGGTCGAGGCAAATGGGAGACAATTCTTGGTCTTCAAGAGTGTGGTCCTTCCAAGCGATTTGGATGGAAGCTTACCGTTCCAACTACAAAAGCATTCACCCACGTGAGACTCAATATGTATCCAGACGGCGGAATTGCTCGATTCAGACTCTTTGGTCACGCTATACCAGTTTTCCCTGAAGACAGAGATGCCATCTTCGATTTGGCTGCCGCTCAAAATGGAGGAGTTGCTATCTCTTGTAGTGATCAGCACTTTGGAGTTATCGCCAACCTCATATTACCCGGTCGTGGCAAAGATATGGGAGATGGTTGGGAAACATCAAGATCTAGAGGGAAAGATCATGTAGATTGGGCTATCATCCGATTAGGTGCACCGGGCACTATTGAAAATCTGATCGTTGATACAGCATTCTTTAGGGGCAACTTTCCACAAAAAGTGAAGGTTGAGGCCATAAGCTGGAATAGTGAAGGGGAGCCTAGCAACTCAGCGGAAGGATGGACTGCGGTTGTTGAGCCCAGCAAGACTAGTGCTGACAAGGAGCATGAATTTGAGTCTTTGGTAAAGGATAAAACATTTACGCATGTTAAGTTGATTATGATTCCAGATGGAGGAGTCAAAAGAATTAGGGTGTTAGGAAAGAGAAGTGTTTAGAACTTTAGATGAGATAGGGAGATAGGAGAAAGACTCACAGTACTCAGCAGGAGTTTACCCCTGTTGGAAATTGGAAGAAACAAAACTCTGAGCATGGGAGAAGTAAATGAAAACTATAACATGATATTATTCCTTGCTACTACCCTGACTGTTCATTCATCTATCCACATTAGATATATTTGAAGTCATAAAACAATTCCCACATCTAATTCTCATTTATAAGAAACAATGGTAAGGCTGAAGACTAACTTCCCTTCCATACCTTAGTGAAACCTTGGCGCTCGGACCATCTCCCAAGATGACTTCTAATGCAGCCCATCAAGTAACAAGCCCCGGCATTTACATCATAAATGTAAAGAAGGCCCAAGTCAACACAACAGCTTCCCTGTGGGACCAAAAGAGTTTCGAAAACTTGATACACTCCTTTAAATAATACAATTTGCGGAAAAGGACTCAATTCGATAAGTTCTCAACAGATGTTTGCTGGTTGCATGTGGTCTTCCTGCTGTTGTAATGGACATCGGGGACAATAATGAAGATATTGGTGGATTTGGGGAGGAATGGGTAAAACCAAGGCCACTACCTGATGATTTACCAAGGTCGCTTGATGATCGAAAACATGTATCTGCAGAGTATGCACCTGAGACTGAGATGTATGATGCATGGCAAGGTATGACAATTCAATACAAGGGGGGGAAATCTACCAACTAACATATTTAGGACAATCGCAGTTTCTAACAACTCCGGTCCTGGCTAAACCACTCGAATTCAAAAATCTTTCACTCGATAATGACGATTTCGGCGACGATATTACAAAGCAAAAGATAGGGGATAGCGATAGTAGACTTATGGAAATGTTGGCCGCTCAAGCAGCACATCGAGATGGTTCGGCTAGTGAGGATGAAGATGCTGTGGCTATGGATGAGAAGCTTTCGCTTGAAGAAAAGAAGGATATCCTACAGAAGGCTCTAAATATGTCAGCTAGTAACGGAGATGTTGATCGCATAGAGAGGATCCTCCACGGTAAAGCAAAAGACCTTGTAGATTTGGATGCGCCGGATGAAGAAGGCACGGCGCCGATAATATACGCAAGTTGTTTTGTGAGTACTGGCTAAAAGGAACATGTATCATACAGTTACTAATGATTGCGCAGGGCCACGAAGCTGTCGTAACAGCACTCCTAGATGCCGGTGCCGATGTCGACAAACAAGATAGAAATCAATGGAGCGCCTTGATGTGGGCAATGACAAATCGGCACAAGGGGATAGCAAAGGCACTTCTAGATAGAGGAGCATCCAGGGACGTCAAATCATCGACGGGAAGAACGGCATTTGATTTTATTGCTCCAGATAGCGAAATTGCCGATTATCTCCAGGATGGTGGATATCATATTGGAAATGCTGGAGTTACGGACGACTTTTACAACCCTGGATTCTCCCAGGACCGGTTTGAGGAAGAAATGGCAGAAAATGAAATGAGGCGCCGAATGATGATGGAGAGTGCCAGAGATCTAGAGGTTGACTTGGGTAATATGGGTATTGATGATCAACCTGAATCGCCAGAGGAGTTGGAAGAAGAAGGTCAAGATTTCGACTGGAGCCGATGTTTACATGATCAAATGTTTGTGTTTCAGGAAAGTGAACTTGGTCGAATTCTGGATATCATTATCACCAATATGTCTCCTCAACGATCACCATCTCAGAAACCCGTACCAGCGAACATGATATTTCTCAGTGCGAGATATGCTCACTATCATGCAAGCCATGATCTTCTGGCCAAACTTCTTATTAGCGCGATGGATAAGATTAATGATGTGGTTGAAACACATCAATGGGACATGACAATATTAGCTTTCTGGATTTCGAATGCTACATTGTTATTACACTATTTGAAAAAGGATACTGGATTATCCGAATCAACAACAGAGTTTCAACTTCAACTTGCGGAGCTGATTAATGAAATTTTTATCTTGATCATTCGAGATGCTGAAAGGAGAATGGACAAAGTTCTTGATTCGGCAATGTTAGAACATGAAACTATTCCAGGATTTGAAGATGTCACATTCCAGAATGAATGGAAGCTATTTAAAAGAAAAACGACTGTTAAAGAAGTACCCATTGAAAAACGGTTTCGACCTCCTTCGCCAAAGGCTAGAGCTAAACCATCACCCCGCAATGTTACGTCATTATTATCCTCTACTCTATTTGTGTTGGATCTTTATGACATACATTCTGTCATTACTTCTCAAATTTTGGCGCAGCTACTTTACTGGCTTGGTGCGGAACTTTTTAATCGTATCATGTCTAATCGAAAGTATCTAGCACGAACTAAAGCAATGCAAATACGTATGAATATTTCTAGCCTTGAGGAATGGGCACGAACGAACAATCGACAACCTGAGCATTATGAGCATGGTTCTATGACTTCTAGTGGAGAGATGACTGTTGAGGCAACTCGACGACATCTTGCACCTTTAGTTCAACTACTACAGTGGTTACAATGCTTCTCATCTTTGGGACAAGATGATTTAGAAGCTTTAGTTGGGACATTACAGCAACTCACACGACTTACACCCCAGCAATTAATACATTCAGTAAAACATTATCGAGCGGAAGTTGGAGAAAAAGGGTTACCAAAAAGTGCTATGAATTATTTGGTCAACCTACAAGAGGAGCACCGGTTACGAAAAGAGCGTCAAAAGAGAACTTCACAAGGTTTACGCATGAGTGCACCATCAACTCCAGCTAGAAAAGGAAGTAAACCATTACCTGATACCCCTGATTCAAATGGTAGAGGTGGAAAACCGCAATCTCTCGATGACGAACCTTTCGAGGAAGATGATGCACCGGAAAATCTTCTCCTGGATCCAGCTCTCATGCTTCCTTTTTCCCTTCCTTCTAGCACAGATATGTTGATAAGTTATGGAGCGGGATTCGGTGGGATGAATCGAGAAAGGGAAAGAAAATATATTCCTACAGTTCCTCCGGAGTTCTTGGCAAAGCTAGATCTTAGTGGTGGGAGAGCACACTCGACATATCATGAGCGAGATTGGGAGAATGAGGAACTTTGAGTCGGGTGTGATGTGTGTGGATGAGTGGATGGATGGATGGATGGTGTGGGTTTGTTTTTAAGTGGGTGCTGTAAGCTGTATGAAGTAGTAGTGATCGAGTGAGTGACGGTGAGAATGAGTGAGCAGAATTGGGAATCGGAGGTTGGGAAGTGGAAAGCAAAATCATGCATTATTCATTGGTAGGGAAGCATGGCGTGG